CGCGCAGAGGGGGGGGGGGGAAAGAAATGCCGTCTTTGCTGGTGCTCGTGGTGGTCTGGGACTTCGACGTCCGCAGGGAGAGCGAGGAGTGGGAGCGGTCGCTCGCCTTGCCGACCTGGGAGAAGCCAAAGGAGGCCTCGCTGTCCACCCCGGCCGGGCCGCCACCGCGGGAGGCCGCCGCGCACGACGGCCGCGCCAGGGAGTCGGACGACTCCGCCGTCGAGAAGAGGGTCGTCTCGTTGAACCACGACAAGGCCTTCTCCATGCACTCCACCTTCAGCGCCTCGGGGGGGCGGCGGCGAGTCGTCTGCGAAATCCGCGCGTGGTGAGGGGGGGGCTCGTGCGTGGGTAATTCAAAATTGGACAACCTCGAGTGGGCGCATGGAAGCTTTCCCATCGCGGTCTCGTTGGATCCCGTAGTCGGTTTGCGCCCTCACCGCGCGCACGCTCTAAAGGACCTGAAGTGGTGATGTTTGGGTTTTCGTCTTTCCCCGTTAGGGCGCGCTGATGGGATGATTCGTATTTTTTTTTTTTAATGCTTCACTCTGCAACACCACTGCTTTCACCCTCTATTAATTATTTTTATGTATGGTAGGAAATCACCTTAAATCGTAATAAAAACACTAAATGGATCAAAGAAAAAAAATGACTAATATAATTTGTAGGAAAATGCAATAGTGCAAATTTATTTTCGCGTCCTATTGATTAGTGAATATACTTAATACTAATAATAGGGATTGTGATGAAGTTTGTGGTGTTCCCTAATGTGTTTAGTGAGGAAAATAAATATGTATATATGTTAACTAATCAAGCACACACAAACTACGGAAAAGCTTGTATGGAATGCATGCGTGTATATTTAGTGCTAGTAAATGAAATTACTGGCTTCTGTGTGGTATGAGATCACCTTGAAGAGAATGTCAATGATAATAAGGGCACCCAATAAGAGGAGTTGGAATAACCAGTAGATGGACACGTTTCAGGCATTTTATGTTCAAATAGGGAAGAAACCCAAAAGAAATTAGAACACTTCGGGATTAGCAGAGTGTAATTGTGAACCAACGAGAGTCAAACCGCTCGCTCTGGGTATTGTATTCATTATGGTGGCTCTTTAGCACCGCTCAAACACCTTATATAAGGTCTCCACCGTTACCACTGACTGGATATCCCCTTTGATCAGAAGATCGGCAGGTGGGATAAACAATTTTTTGTTCCGCATGGACGGGAACAACCCAAAACGGATGTGATCGCTTAATTTATTCAGAGAGGTCGGGGCCCCTTCCGGGGAATTCTTGACCCCATCACCCATCGAGGTCGGAGAAGGGGGGTGGGAAAGGTTCGCTGGGAAGCCACCGCCGCGCGCACGGGCCGCCTCAAGACCCTCAAGGCCGGCAGAAGAGACGTCGCCAGCCTGGGCCTCGTCCGTGGGCGGCATTAAACCATAGAGAATATCCGCAATATAGCGCGCAATCGAGGTGAAGCAGCGAATCTCCGCCTCCACCTCACGCTCTTGATATTGAAGATGGTTCGCATCGCGCGGGAGCTCGGGACTCCCGTCCTCGCCGAGGCGCGGGGAGGGGTAGGGAACAGCATCCGCCAGCAGCCAAAGAAACAGCGGCACGGCTCGCAAATAGGGCGCCCAGGACGTGTTGAGGCCGTAAGGCAGCCCCATCAAATATTCCCCGTCGTCTGTAAAAATAATCCCAAAGTAATCCTTCAACATCTCCCGCCAAAAACAGAAGCGCCGGACAAGACGAGTGATGTAGGTTTCCGTCGCCTGCCGGGCGTGCGCGGAGCCCCACAGCAGGGACGGCGCCGCCGTCATCAACGCCTCCACCTCCGCGAGAAAATCCCTCTCGTCCGCGCTCGACGGCGCGATCTTCCCCTCCGCTGGGGTCTTTCCGAACGACGCGGCCTTCCAACTCTCAGGGAAATCCCCCGGCGCGTCGTTTCCCCTCGATCCCACGCGGTTTATTAAGGCCAGCCACTCATCGCGATTCCTTTCGGGGCCTCCCGCGGCCCCGCCCTCAGGCCCCACGCACCCCCGAAGAAGTTCCACCAACCCCGGCGAGGGCGGCACCATCCCCCGGGCGTCCTGCCGAAGCGCGAACCCCAGCGCCGCCCGCGTGGAAATCGGCTTGGCGAAGGCCAACAACGGCGAACGCGGCAGGCTGGACTGGGCCCAACGGAGAAAAATGCGCTGAAAGACCACCTCCCGGACCAGCGGGAGAGTGCGAACGAGCAGCAGGCTGGTGTGGTACTGCGCGAGAAAGAAGTCCGCGTCGACGAGGCCGACAAAGGAGAGCCCGGCCACGAGGCTTTGGACGGCGGCGCTGGATTGGCCGCAGATCTCCCGCGCGATGACCGCCACACTCGTCAGGACGTGATCCGCGAGCTCGGGGACCGCATTTTCGCCTTCGGGGACGATAATCGTCGAGCCCGGCTCTATTTTACAGCCCGATGAGGCCTCAGAAGGGGCGGGGGGGGGGCGGGCCCGGGGACCCGCCGCGATCGGCCTCGCGACCGATTTTTACCGCTTCGCGATGAAGGCCGTCCACCGTCGGGGGCGACTCCGGCCTCGCCGAGCCGCAGAGCCCAACCTCGGCCGCGGATCCCGAAGGGGAAATACCCATTCGCATCGCCTGAATTCCCAAGTCTTGGCGAAATTTCTTGAACTCCAAAATCGTTTTCGCCCCGTCGTCCTCCTCGTCCTCGTCCTCGTCCTCCGTAGCGTCCTCGTCGGGTTCGCGGATTCGGATTTGGAAAGGGCGACGGGCATCGCCCGTCGGGGCGGATGCCGCGGCTCCGTCGGTCGTCTTTTCCTTCGGATTCGGCCGCCACTCCCGCGGCGCGTCGGGGCTCGGCGGCGAAGGCAAAGGCGGAGAATCGGAGCCGCCGGTGGGGGGAAGTCCCGTGGTTGCCGCCCCCGACCATGCCGGGCCCGTCCCGGCGTCCGAAACCACCCGCTGGGAGTGTGGGGGCTGAGAGAGAAAAAAGGCATCGAGCGCGCCCTTTTGCGGCTCCACGCGCACGACCGTAGCGGGAGCCGGGGC